TTTAATTAAATGGTCAATATGTTTTTATTGACGTCAAATGGAGATGGGATGGGGAAAAATATTGGTTCTATGAAAACACCCCCTTTCTCCGTTAGCGGTGTGTTCATTAACTCTTTATAGTCCAGTAAGTTATTTTGCTCTTACAATTTCAACAACAAAATAAAACTCAACAACATAAAATCCTTGTATACCTTATTTGATTGAGGAATCTTAATGTTTTTATTTAGCATTGTTAAACCAAATAGAATTTTATAACTTTGTGTAACTATTATATGTAGGGCAATCTGTCTTTAAGGAGAGATTAATTACTATCTTTTTTTTTTTTTTTTTTTTGGAGAGATTTTCGCTGTAGGGCGCGTGCGCTCGCCAGACAGAGAGAAACAGAGAGACAGAAAGCGAGAAATCCCCCCCCAGGGGGGATGGTCACGCCACAATCCCTTCTCTTCCATTCTCCTCTCTGGATCTTGGGCACGCACACACATGCATCCGGCATGAGTTTAAGCCACCAGGTCTGGGACTCCAACCGCAGTCGACTACATAGGAGTCCAGTGACATAGCCATTACTCCAACTGCTGGTCCCAGATAATAATTATTCTTTTTTTTTTGGAGAGATTTTCACTGTAGGGCGCGTGCGCTCGCCAGACAGACAGAGAGAGACATAGAGACAGAAAGCGAGAAATCCCCCCCCAGGGGGGATGGTCACGCCGCAATCCCTTCTCCTCCATTCTCCTCTCGGGATCTTGGGCACGCACGCACACGCGCCCGGCGTGAGTTTCAAGCCACCGGGTCTGGGACGTGAACCATGGTCGACTACGTGGGAGTCCAGCGACATAGCCATTACGCTAACTGCTGGTTCCCGATAATAATTATTCTTAAAGAAAAAAAAAAAAGAATCTAATTTTCCCTTCAACTCAAGCATCTTCTTTAAATAACTCTCTTATTTAATATGAAGAAAATAAAAAGAATTTGGGTGGCATTACTCTCCAATTTCCAGGAGATAACATCTAAATCCTTGGAATGTTCCCAATAATAGGAGTGTCTTTGTTATTCATGGTAAAAGAGAGGAGATCCTGTTCTGACAGGTAAATGATTCATGGTGGGCCCCTACTTGATGCTACAAAGATGACGAAAGATGTGGGCTGACCATTCCAGAAAGACCAATGGTGCACTTAGAGGGTTGGTGAATACATGTACCCTATAGCAAAATTTTACCAAAGAAAAAATATTTATTCCTTTCACTTTTTTGTTTGTTTTTGCCATAGGGCACATGCACTTGCCAGGGAGAGACAGAGAGAGAGAGAGAGAAAGTGAGAAATCACCACTCAGGGGGGATGGCCATGCCACATTCCCTTCTTCTCCATTCTCCTCTTGCAGTTTTGGGTATGCACATACACACACACACTCAGCATGATTTTCAAGCTGCTGGGTTCAGAGTGTGAACTGCAGTTGGCCACGTGGAAATTCAGCACCTTAACCACGGTGCCACCTGCTGGTCCCACCTTTCATGTTTGTTACGTATATTCATAGGATCTCCTCTCTTTTAGTCCATTCAGGCTGCCATAACACAATACTGTCAACTAGGTGGCTTATAAACAAGAGAAATTTACTTCTCACAGTTCTGGAGGCTGGAAAGTCCAAGTTTATGGTGCTACTGAGGCAGGAGACAGGGACCCTAAAAATATAGTTAGGGTATAGGCCCAAAATGAAATCGCAAAATGGCTAAGTTTTAAGGTGGAGACAAAGAGGCTCAGCTGCTTGCTCAGAAGAGACCTTGTGCAGCAGTGACTCAGTGATTGACCTAGGCAGCATGACCTACACCTGAAACAAAGGCTTTTTTCTAGGCTCCACCACATTCCTGGAAGATAAAATGTTTTTTTATGCCAAAGCCTGTAGACAAAAAAAACCCTCTTGACCTTTGTACCCACTCCAAAATTAGAAGAACTAGATCCATTCAACATAGGCCACTCACCACTACAAGAGGAATACATGCACAATCCCACCTGAAAACAAGCCTAAAGGAGGCTCCTCTGATTCAGATAAAAACCCCTTGCCCCAGGTTCTCCCTTACAACCCATTTTCTGCGACCCCTCCCTTTTTCCTAGGAGCTCTGTTTTTCTTTCCCTTTCCTTCAGTAAACTCCCCACTTTGCTATACCCACTTTCTGTGTCTCTAATTCTTCCTGAGAGACAGAAACCCATGTCTCACTGGGGGTACTAGACCTGATCATCCTGGAGTCCCTATGTTTCTGCATTACTACTGATTAAGTGCCTCTTTTTTCTTTTTTTTTTTTTTTTTTGAGAGAGCTTTTTGCTATAGGGTGCATATGTTCACTGGAGAGACAGAAACAGATAAAAAGCAAGAAATCACCCCCTGGGAGGATGATCACACCACAGTCCCTTTTCCTCCACTCTCCTTTCAGGATTTTGGGGATGCATGCACATGTGCCCGGCGTGAATTTCAAGCCACCTGGTCCAGGACTCAGATCTCAGTCTACCATGTGGGAGTCCAGCAACATAACGATTTCTCCATCTGTTGATCTCCAGTGTCAGTTTTTTTATTTCTGGTTCATAGATGGATGTCTTCACACCATGTCCTCACATAGCAGAGGAGTTGCAGAAGCTCCGTAGGGTTGCTTTTATTAGGACACTGATCACCTCCTAAAGGGTCACCTCCTAATACCATCACATTGGGGGTTAGGATTTCAATATATGAATTTTGAAGAACACAAACATTTAACATTCTATTGTATTTTGTAATTCTTATCTATTTGCAAGAATAGTATTTGTTAATTTATATTACATATATGTTAAATTCTCTTATTTTAAATGCTTCTTGGTTGATTCTTCTGGGGTTCAGACATAGAAATTTATTTTATGTGTAAATAATAACTTCCTGCTCTTTTAAATTTTTATACTACTACTATAGAGGGTGGCCAATCTGAGCAAACATGATGATGACCGATAAACACATGCAGAAATGTAGTTCTATGGGCTATCATTTTGCAAGGCTAAACTAATGCCGCCATTAACATATGAATATGCTAGCTGCCTCTGTGTTCAAAACTGCAAAGCAGTATCAGTGAAAGGAAGCCACATGTGTTAATCAGAAAAGGCTTGAGAAAATAAGATAAAACTTACATAGAACTACATGATGTTAAATGTCTTCACATCTTCAGCCAATTAACATCTGAATGTTTTTATTCCACTTCCCCTTCCTCTCTTTTTTGCCCTTTAAAGGAATAGCAGCTGGCAGGTGATGTGGTGGATAAAGGCACTGGATTCTCACATGGTCAATTATGGTTCAAGTCCCGGACCTGGCTACTTACTTTCTCTCTCTCTCTCTCTCTCTCTCTC